GGAGGGAAGAGGGAGGAGGGAGGAGGGAGGAGGGAGGAGGGGGGGGAGGGAGGAGGGAGGGAGGGAGAGGGAGGAGGGAGGAGGAGGAGGGAGGAGGAGGAGGAGGAGGAGGAGGAGGAGCGTTGGGTGATCCCCGCATCGAGCACCGAGTCAACGCGGCGGGCAGGCGGCACGCTGCATCTGACGGGTCAGGCCCTGCAGCGAACTTGCTCGCTCGCACAGCCACGACGTGGACCTGGGAAAGAGGAGGAGCCAATGCTTACCAGCCTGGAACATATCCCTATCCCTATACTGGGCACCTCCTCATCACGATGCCAATCTTAGGGATTCCCTTATTTTTGAGGGCGAATCCCTAAGATTGTCATCGCCTTTTGGCGTGTCAATCTTAGGGATAGGGATACGGTCGAGGCTGGTAATGGGACTGATGAGGAGCCAATGCCGCGGATCATGGCCTCGTCGCAGAGGGATAGGGGAACAAAAAGTGACATAAACATAAAAACTCGGAGGTCCGCGCGGATTTCTCGGATCGGCGCTGGGGCCCCCCGGCAGCGCCTCCGCGCGCCAGGGAGGGGGGTGCAGCGCCGATCCGAGAAATCCGCGCGGACCTCCGAGTTTTTATGTCTATGTCACTTTGTGTTCCCCGAAGGGAGGCCTCGTCCTCCTCCGTGGCGCCGTCGTCGACACCCGCGCCGCCCTCCTCATCGGTGTGCGCGTCGGGCGCGGGATGCAGCGGGCCGTCCACGGCCTCGTCACCGCAGGAGTCGAAGCGCACGATCGCCCTCCTCACCGCTGCCGGGGCTCGCGTCGGACTCTGGGCGCGGGCAGGCCGCCCGCGGCCTCGCCACCGAGGGGGTCGAAGCCCACACTGCTCTGCTCATCGGTGTCTGGCCTCGCGGCGGCCTCGGGGTGCAGCAGGCCCCCCCCCCAGATGGCCTCGTCACCGAGGGAGTCGAAGCCCACGTCGCTCCTCTGAGCGATGCCGTTTCTCGCGTCCTCGCTGCTCCCATCGCTCACTGACGCGGAGTCGGAGTGTTCGAGTTCGGGCCGTGCCCTGAGCGGCGGCCACGGCGGCCCTCCTCGTGCGCGACGCTGGCGTGCCGCTTCGCCGCGAAGCTCGCCTCGCAGAGGTGGCCGTGGCGACTCTGGCCCAGCGACCCGCAGAGCGCTGCTGCAGTGGAGGTCGCCAGGCTGGCGGAGCCTCGTTTCTCCGGCGGCGCTCGGGGCGGATAGCTTGGTCGTTGGGCTGCGCCTCTCGCGGCGGAAGTGGCAGTTGCCTCGCACATCGGGCCGGCCTCCTCGGGTCCTCGGGCGTCGGGAAGCCGGCGCAGATGGGCTCGCAGGTGCGGCCTGGCCCATTATCGCCATGGGGAGCGGTGGCGGACCCTGGCGGGCTCTGGCGGCTCGCCTGCAACGACTTGTCCACGCGCGCGGCGTCCAACGTCAGTAGTCCGCCCGGAAAGCTTGCATACTATACCCAAAAGCCTTGGGGGCAAGCGAGGGTCCTGGTCGTGGATCTGCTATACCAAATTCCCTCTCTGGGTCTTGGCTTTTTAGACCGAAAGTGGCCCCGGGCGGTGGAATCTAACTGAAGCGGGGAGGGTGCTGTATGCAAAACGATATTGAGGAATCAGCCTGCGGCGCCTTCCGCAGGTAGAGCATCAGGAGGCAGACGTCAGCGCCCTTGGCCGGCAGACGTCGCCTGGCAGCGTAGACCAGGCGGCACAGCGCTGCCGCCCACGGCCTCGGGGCCGCCTGCGCGGCAGGCACCCGAGAAACTCGTGGAACCACCTGGCCTGCCAGGGCCGCCACACTGCGGGCAACATCCTTGGCCGCGCGATCGCCGAGGAGGCATCGCGGGCCCCTGGGGCCTGCACCCGAACGCCCCGAGCCGTCACGGCCACGGGAAGACGCGGAGGAAGGGAGGGGAAGGGAGGAGGAGGGAGGAGAAGGGAGGAGAAGGAAGGGAGGAGAAGGGAGGGAGGAAGGGAGGAGAAGGGAGGAGAAGGGAGGAGAAGGGAGGAGAAGGGAGGAAGGGAGAAGGGAGGAGAAGGAAGGGAGGAAGGGGGGAGGAGGGGAGGAGGAGGGAGGAGAAGCCCCCCGCCAACCGCAGACGGCAGAGACTTCTTCACCTGGCGCCCGGAGCCCGGCGCGTCGGCCGCCTTCCTCGCGCGCTATGCGGGCCACGCCTTCCCGGCCGCTTCTGCCCTCCAGCCCTGCCCGCGAAGCGCCGCCGACGTCGCCGCCGTGGTCGCCGGCATCGCCGTCGTTTGCGTGGCCGTCTTCGACCGCCTGTTCCTCGTCCCCTCGGGCCCTTCCTCCTCGCTCCTCCTCCTCGCTCCTCCTTTCTACTCCTCCTCCTCCTCCTTTCTCCTCCTCCTCCTCCTCCTCCTCCTCCTCCTCCTCGCTCCTCGCTCCTCCTCCTCCTCCTCCTCCTCCTCCTCCTCCTCCTCCTCCTCCTCCTCCTCCCCCCCCCGTCTCCCCCTCCTTTCGCCTCCTCCTCTTCCATGTTCTACCTGGCTCCTTCCTGTCGCGCCCCGAGGCGTGTCGCTCCGGCGAGCGAGGCGCTTCGCCAGATGCTTCTCACCACGAGTGACCCCCGAGCTGAACATTCTACAAGGGCTTCACGGGTGGAGGGCGGGCCGTGTCCAATCCGTGTCACTCGCCTCAGTGCCGTGCGCAGTCGTGCAAGCAGCATGCCGCAGTTTTGCGGATGAAGGGAGGGTGGCTTTCAAAAGCTTGTTTTCAGCGCCACGAGCGTTCGTATTCACAGGGTGCAATCGTTGCACGGATGGAGGACGGTTCTTTTGTCAAAAAGGTGGTTATCGCTTCAGCGCCCCGCACACTCGTCGAAAACAGTTTCAGGAGCTGCACTGGTGGACGGCGGTTTAAGTGTGACTCTCGCATTAACTCCGCGTGCAGTTGCACCGAGAGTTTACAGCAGTTTCAAGGATCCGCATGGTTAGCGTCCCAGAAATTGTGTTTTGGCACGCTGTCGGAATGACAGAGCGCAATGGTTATTCGGATTCGCGTTGCTGAAGTCCCAGGAATTGCTATCTGGCAAGATTCAGGATCGTCAAGACGAAATAGTAACGGTGATCGCGGCGTTCAAGTCCCAGGGACGGTGTTCTGGCACAGCTCAGGCTTTTGTGAAACGACTGTCTTTCAACGGGGCACCTCCCTCAGTGACAACGGATCTTTGTATGGGGCCTAGGAAGAGGGAGGTTGGAGGGAGGGTGTATTGCGATTCTTCACGCTTCGCGTATCCCCACCTGCTGCTTGCAGACCTTGGCAGCCGACCACGCTGGCTGCCAACCCATCCTTGCAGCGCGCTGCATGCGTGCACCCTGGCAGTGCAGCTTCCCGGCAGTTGCAGTCAGCCCCCCTCCACTCGCCGGCCTGCCCGCCGAGGTGCTGCGTGAGGCTCCGGCCCACCGCTTTAGGTTAATTCGTCTTTGCGCGGCCCGCTCTGACTGGACTCGCCGCCGGCGCGCTCGCCCGCGGCCGCTGACTAAAGAAGTATCCCCACCAGCCCATTCAGAAACCATGCCCTTCAGAGCTGACGGGAAAGGGACGAAGAGACACATCTGGGGAACAGCGCGAGCAAGGGGGTGGCCTCGGAAGACCTCTTCGGGCATGCCCTGGGCGCCGCGAGGGGAAGAGGGCGAGGAGGAGGAGGAGGACGAGGACGACGAGGACGAGGAGGACGAAGAGGAGGAGGAGGAGGAGGAGGAGGAGGAGGAGGAGGAGGAGGAGGAAGAGGACGAGGAGGAGGAGGACGAGGACGAGGACTTGGATGATAACGACGCGGGTGAGGACGCATAGAACCATATCGGGGCATTATTGCGGCTGTTGCTGCTGGTGCTCTCGGGGAGTTTGGGGGACCCTGTTGGAACCCTCTTGGTAACCCTGGAAGGCTTCTTGGGATCATCTTGGAGGCCATCGATTACAGGATGGGGGGGGGTCTCCAATACAGCTCCCCCTTCAGGAACCGGCATACCGCGTCTTGGGGCTCTTTTGGAACGCTCTTGGGCGATCTTGGAGCGGGCTTGGGGCCGTTTGGAGCAGCGTTGGAGCCATCTTGAACCAGCTTGGGCTATCTGGGCCATCTTGGAGGTCATCTTGGGCTCTATGAAACCGCTCGGGGGCCTCCTGGGGGCCCTCTTGGGACCCTCTTGGAGCCCTCTTGGTGCTCTCTTGGGGCTCTCTGGGAAGCCCTGGAGCGCCTCCTGGGGCCATTTTCCAGGTTATCGATCAAAGGAGGCAGGCACCCGATCGACGCCCCCTCCACTCGGGCGCCACGAACATCGTGAGAGGTGTCAAAAATTGGCCGTCCCGGGGGCCGATCTTGGACGCTTCAAGAGATTGCGGCCCCCCCCCGTCCAGGCCCAGGGGAGGGGGCAGGGGGAAGGGTAAACCCGCCCCCGAAAGGGAAGACGGGTTTCTGGAAGAGGATCGAAAGTCACCGGTAGACCACCTGCGCCCAGAGGGCTGGTGGGATAAATATCGTTGATGGGTCGTGGGTTCACACTGGTCCTCCTCCTCTTCCTCCTCCCTCTTCCTCCTCCTCGCTTACGACGACGGGCGAGTGGCTGGCAATGCCGTTGCTACCCGACACGATGAGGGCCGACATCGGCACCACCATTTGGCCGAGCGAGGCGTCTTGCACGGCTAGGTCCCCGCTGACCGAGGAGCCCGTGGGTCCGAGTACGAGGACCTGCGCCGGGGACGTTAATCGTACCAGTATCGTCTTGTCCGCCCGCAGTGCTGGTTCCGTGTCGCGGCGTGTTCGTCCTGAGTTCCGCCGCGCACTCCAGGAACATGTATACACGCACAATCACGACACAAGCTCGATGCCTCCATGCTTTATTGGCGCGGACTTTCAGAGACAGGCGCAGTTGCTATTTCGTGGCAAGGTACCTTTTGCTGGCGCGGTGCAGTACAACAACATCGCCTCTGGCATTAAAGCGACGGCTTCAAGCAACTAGCGAGGCTTATCTGGCATGGGGCGCGCGCGACGCCTGCGTCAGCACCGACGATGGTTCAGCGCTCCTCGACAGCAGCCGCAGGAGATCGCGGCGGTCTTCGGCCAGCTGTGGTCAGAGGAGTTCGCGACGCTTTGGCCGACTGGGGCTGTGAATGTGTTTGCCAACCCTTGCGCGCCGAGGTTTGTCGGCGACGTCGAGGCGCTGCTGCGGGCGACGGAGGCCGAGGATCTACGGGGCGCCCTCCGCACTGCCGACGGTGAGCTGAGCGTGGTGGCCCTGTTTTCGGGCGACGACGTTCGAGAGCAGCACCTCGCCGTCCACCCTGGCGCGCTGAGTGTTCAGGCGAGGACTGCGGCCACCCCGCCACCGTGCTGGGCACCGCCCGAGACTACTGCTGCCGCCGACGGCCGAGTGGACTCGCGACCTTCTCGATGCAGAAGGCGCCGCCTGCGCTCACTGCGCGGCCGAGGTTTCAGGAAGTGGAGGTCATATCTGCCGGTCTTTATTGCGCGCGGCCGTCGATGCCAACCAGCGCGCGCACGGTCGAAGCGTTCTACGCGCGCGAAAGATTGCATGAGAGAACGCCGCCACCGCCTTCATCACTAAGCAGCGTCACGTACATAGTCCGCCCTTCCACCGCCTTGTCGTCGAGCCACCCGCCCTTCGTCTGTCCATTATTTGGCATGGAGGCCTCGACAACTCGGGGAGTGAACAGCTCGGAGTTAGCCTGTTATGCGGACGAGCCGCTTGGTGTTCGAGCCTGGCCTCAGAGGCGCCCACTGCGCGCGCTCCCCAACGACAGCGCCGACGCCTGCGACATCCAAGAGAGTTCGCCATGCTCTTGCGCCTCAGCGACCAGCCCCTGCAGGCGGCAGCAGAAGTGGGCCGTTCCAGGACTGCGTGTCAGGGGGCGGGCCGTCGACATGGCCGCGTCGGCTCCACCAGCGCCGGCTGCGGGCCCCCCAATCGCCGCCCGCCAGGCCGAGGCGCCTGCGGCGACGCGTCGCGCGCGGCAGCCCGAGGGCGTAGCCGCCGCGGCGCAAGCCGCCACAGGTTGAGCGGCGTCGTCCGGCACGGCGGAGGGGCGCCGAGGCAGCTGCCAGGGCAGGCAACGGCGACCGTAGAACTGTTTGTCGCCGCGGCCTGCCCCCCGTCGCGCTGGACAGGCCCCCGCCGGTGGGCGCGCACGTATCGTTGCGGCCGGCGCCCGTCCTCGCTCGCGCCGCCCTCGGGAACAGCTTCAACATCTGCCAGCCGATGTGAACGAACAACCGCGCGCTGCTGTTCGACGATGCCGACGAGATTTCGAAGGCGGGCTTCGCCGCTGGGAGGGCGCGCGCGATCGAAGCGCAGAAGCTGCGCGATCTCGACTCCGAGAACCCGAAGGTCAACGAAGCTCCGTTGCTGGCCATGTGCCCCGCCAGTGTCCTGGTTTTCCTGATCGCCCTAGGGCCGTCGCAGCAGCTGGAGACCAGAGTCCGCAAACAGGAGCGGTGGGCCGAAGCTGCAGCGAAGTCTGAGAACCTGTCGATGAGCGAGCCCGCGGCGCTGGGGCGCGGCTTCCGAGCGTCGAAGCACTACAAAGAAGGGGCCGCCAAGATGGCCATGCGCCTGTCTGACGATAACCTCGAGCGGTCATTCTCAGCCCGCGCCGCGCAGCTGGGGTCGGAGATAAAGCCAGGGGTGGCCCCCCGCGGACGTCGAGAGAGCCTGTTGCAGCTGGCGCTAGATAACCTCGACTTGTGAGCGGTGGCCGCCCCGACGACATGGCGAGTTTCGTTGCGTGGCGTAAAATTGCAGGGGGTCGTCTGGCCTGTCGGGGGCTAAATAAGCCGACGCGGGTAATCGCTTTAAGCGGCATGCGTGGGAAGTGGTCCGACCCTACGGCATCGCGGGCTCAGATTACGCCCCAAGTTTGAAAGCTAATTGGAAGCGCGTTTGCACGGCGAAACGTACTTCGACGGCATCCCAGATGAGTGGCAGTGGGAGCGGTGTCTGCACCGCGTCTCGTGCCATGGTGGCGTCCCAGATGAGACGCAGTGGGAATGGTGTCTGTACGGCGACGCGTACAGCGGCGGCATTCCACATGAGTAGCAGCGGGGATGGCGTCTGCATGGCGTCTCGCGCTCTGACGGCGTCCCAGATGAGATGCAGTGGGGGTGGCGTGTATACGGCGACGCGCGCATTGGCGGCATCCCAGATGAGTAGAAGTGGGGATGGTGTCTGTACGGCGTTTCGTGCTCCAGCGACGTCCCAGATGAGTGGGGATGGGGTTGGTGTCTATACCGCGTCCCAGGCCCAGGCGGTGTCGCAGAGAGAGGGAGGGAGAGAAAGAGAGAGAGAAAGAGAGAGAGTGCTTCGTCGATGTGTGGAGTTTACGACGTCTTCTGCTCCCCCAGCAACCCAGAGAGTTGGTGGAGCAACCGGGGATGGCGAGAAACGTATGAGTGCGTGGCAGCAGCGTGAGGGTAGCAGTATGAGCGCGACGCGCAGCATGCACGATCGTAGGCGCGTGTGTAGCAATAGTAGCAGTAAGTGTAGACCAGCCGATGTAAAATTTCTTTCGAAGCTTAGCCGCCAGGAGTAATTCAAGTTTCTCGAGGGTCGCCGTTAGGTCGAGCGAAGGCACTTCGGGGCTCCCTACAGGGGGGTCGCTCTTGTGCTGAACGATGCGCGCGCACTGCAGGTCGTACGCGTTGTAATGTGCAGCGTGCAGCTTTGTCAGAGGTATTTCTGTCGTTGGCCCGATGCTGTCCTTGCCGTGCCTTGCCTCCTCCTCCTCTTCTCCGTCACCCCTCCCCCAGAGAGGGGGAGCGAGGAGCGACGAGGGCCCAGGGAGTGAGACAGGAAGATATGTGGACATGGCTGGGCCAGGTTGGAGGAGCATGGAGGGGCAGGGAGAAGCCAGAAGGAAGGGAGAGAGGGACAAGAGGAGGAGGAGGAGGACGAGGAGGAGGAGGAAAAAGAGGAGCAGGATGGACGAGGAGGAGAAAGGAGGAGGAGGAGCTGGAGGAGGATGAGGAGGAACAGGAGGAAGAAGAGGAGGAGGAGGAGGAAGAGGAGGAAGAGGAAGAGGAGGAGGAGGAGGAGGAGGAGGAGGAGGAGGAGGAGGAAGAGGAAGAGGAGGAGGAGGAGGAGGAAGAGGAGGAGGAGGAGGAGGAGGAAGGGGAGGGAGGATGACGAGGGAGGAAGAGGACTGATGTGGATGGGGCTTCGGCGAGGGGCAGGCACTTCGGAAAAGGGGCGGGGAGGCAGAGGAGGACACGGCGGAGGAGGCAGCGAAGAGCCGCGGCCCCGCACGCCGCACCGCCCCCGTCCCCGCGGCGGGGCCTCACGGACTGCACGCGGCGCAAGCTCGTGCTGCCGGGCGACCTCCTGCGGCGCCTGCTGCGGGAGCGCAGGCTCCCCCTGGAGGACCGCTCTTGCGCGGCGGGGGGGGGCGCGTTCTGCAGCCACGCGCAGATCGGGCCGGACGAAGGGGGGTGATAGGGAAAGGGGTGGGGGTTACGAAATAGCAGGCTGCACGCAGCTGGTTTCGGCCCCGCCGCCGGGCCCATTCCTCGATACATGGGCGCCTCCCGGCGCTGGGAGGCGCCGTGAAAATCAGCTACGTGAGCTGATTCTCCCCCCCCCTTTGCTATCCCCCCCTTTCGCCCGGCCCGAGCAGAGGGGGGTATGAGGGAGGAGGAGGGCTTCTCGGAAGGCGCGGGCCGTGTCTGTAGATGTGAGGCCCACGCTTCCTAAGAAGCAGCCTCCTTCTGAGAAGTTGTGCCCCCTTCTCTTCTCCTCGCGTGCGCGCCGCCAACTTCTGACCGGAGCGTTCGCTCAGGCAACGCTTTGGGAGTCGCGTAATGGGGGGAGCGAAAAATGGAGAGAGCGAGGGGTGCAGAAAAGGGGCACTTGAGCGCCCCTCAACGGGTTTTTCATGGTCCAAACCGGGGGTGGGTGCCATGCGGGCGCTGGCACTGGGGTCTTCAGTGAAGCCTCTTGTGGGGCCACCAAACGTGTGAGGGGTGAGCCGAATTGGGCGCGGTAGGGCTGTGCGGGCGTTGCCACTGGGGCCTTCGGTGGAGCTCCCTATGGGCGTGCGAGGAGTGTGCCCAACCAGGCTCGGTGGCGGGCTCTGCCACTGGAGCCTTCGGTGCAGCTCCCTGTGGGGCCACGAAACGTGTGAGGGGTGTCCCGAGTTGGACGCGGTTGTGCCATGCGGGCGCTGCCATTGGGGCCTTCGGTGGAGCTCCCTATGGGGCAACGAAGCGTGTGAGGGGGGCGCCGAAAAAGAGGCATGCGGAGGGCACAGGCGATGTGGCAGGAGGGAGGATGGAGGAGGAGACGAGGAGGGGAGGAGGAGGAGAGGAGAGGAGAGGAGAGGAGGCGGGGCGCTGCCTGTTCAAAACGAGGATCCAACACCACTAGAAAATTATCCCAGTGCGACCCTACCTAGGAGTTGGAGCCCCTAGGAAAGCAGCATTAGTAGTAACAGTAAAGCTAAGCTAAAGCTAAGCTGAAGCTAAGCTAAAGCTAAGCTAGGGCTAAGCTAACACTAAGATAAATCTAAACAAAAGCTAAGCTAAAGCTAGCGCTAACTATAAGCTAAAGCTAAGCTAAAGCTAAGCTAACACTGAGCTGAAGCTAAGCTAAAGCTAAGCTAAAGCTAAGCTAAGGCTAAGCTAAAACTGAGCTAAAGCTAAGCTAAAGCTGAGCTGAAGCTAAGCTAAAGCTAAGCTAAAGCTAAGCTAACACTAAGCTGAAGCTAAGCTAAAGCTAAGCTAAAGCTAAGCTAAAGCTAAGCTAAAGCTAAGCTAACACTAAGCTGAAGCTAAGCTAAAGCTAAAGCTAAAGCTAAGCTACAGCTAAAGCTAAGGCTAAAGCTCCCAGGGGACTGGGGGAACCGCGGGGCGGGGACTGGGGGAACCGCCCGGGGCGGTTAGCATTGCCCGGCCCTTTAAGCAAAGAGAGTAAGAACCCTTCTAGGCAGAGCCTAGGTAGGGAAATAACAGCATGCACTTTCGAATTGTATTTCGTGGCTTCATGGATAAAAGCTTTCTCCGTGGAAACAGTCACAGGCATGGATAGATGCAGCTCCCAACGCATGTTGGCATGTGAAGCAGCATGTCTGCCCGATTGGATCTCGGCCAGCCTCGACATAAATAAGGTATTCCCCCAAAGGCCTCACGTACAGAGATCTGGTCGCAGCCACGGGCGAGCAGGAGCGTATCGTGTGTTCCGCCATACTTCCTGGCAGTGCTGCTATACGTCGTACCCTACCCGGTTTCGAGGAATACAGCAAATCGCGACACTGCCTGAAAGGTCTCAAACTTGGCGCATGTAACAACGATGCTCCTCGAGCATTCCTTAAATTCAAAAGGGACATACGTAGAATCCCAAGTCCACGTCCTACAACCAGGGGATTGATGCCACCAAGGGTCTGCTCACCGCCAAACACGTTGACGATAACTTTAGCTGTAGCACGGGGTCCCACAGTGATGCTCATGGCAAACAGGATGAGCAGGTATTCGGCAAATACAAGATGAACAAGCACCTATACGAATTGTGCTCTTCGGTAATTGGAACATGGTTATGGATCAGGACGAATATATCTAACAGCTGCGCCCCCATACACAGCCTGAAGTTGCTGGAGCTTCTGCATGCGCGAAGGCTGTTCGCATTGTTAGCGACATGGTTGTTAGCCTCCGCGTTGGGGGCCTCGCATATTTCGCACTCACACCATGATGGAGCATGGTGTTTTCCTGTTCTTTGCAGCGTACCCAGGAGCCTACCAACGTACAGCTGAGACGCCTGAGTGCCCTTGCCCAGGAGCTGCCGCAGGGACCCAGGGAGATCATCTACGAGGCCACGGCCCACGATGACGCTTGGCACTCACAGCGCCAGGGGGGCGGGCAGGGACGGAGGGGTCAGGGCCATTCCCCCCCGCCCCCCCATCGTAGCTCCAGCATCGCAGCCCCCCACACCAACGGGAGCTCGCCTCCCTGTGCTGCTCAGAATCCAGTGCTGCTCAGAATCCCAAAACACTCCCAGTGCTGCTCAGAGTCCAGACATCTGATGTTTCGTGTTCAGTTCACGGCGTGGCTCACCAGAGGTGTGGAAACAAGCGGGAGCCTCTGGAGGCTGAAATGCCACTACAACAACAACAACAACAACAACAACAACAACAACAACAACAACAACAACAATTACTAGCACGTGGGGACACACCGTTCTCACCAGTGCCAGGGTTTTCATAGGAGGCGGGCAATACCCCCACTTTGTGGGGGGGCCGGTTCAAGCTCTACCAAATTTCCAAACGACTCTTCGCCACCACCCACACCCAGCTTCCCGCCCTATGACGTTCGGACACTTCACTTCGTGGCATGCGGACGACCGTGGCTACTATTCAGGGCCCCGCGGCCGACGACGACGGCGTGCGCGCGCGAAGAAAAAACGAATGTGTCCCGCATGGTATTATTTGACAGGGATGATGGCCCTGGCAGGTGCGCAACCGTTGTTGCAGAAGTTCGAAAAAGTTGCTCGCAAAAGCCCGTTTGACAGAAATGTTTAAAAAGTGTTGGGTTTCCTACAAATCCGCAAGAGCGCGCGGGATGAAATTTTGACCTTTTTTTTTTTTTGAAAAACCATTGTTTTTTGATGTTTTTATGTTAAAATCGCTACGAACACTAAGGTTTTGGAAGGATTTCGTCTTGCGCGCGCGAATGTCCACTTTACTTTGTTTTTTGCAAGGGATTCTTGAAGTTTGGTTATGTTAGAACAAGAAATGTCCACTTTAGCTTATTTTTTGCAAGGGAAAACGGGGGACAACAAAACAACCCGATCCGGACACCCACGTTTTGCCTGAGACTTCCTCACGAAAATGATGAAAATGTGGCTGCGGCCTAGGCGCGGCGAGGGGGCCGCGCACCAGGGGTCCCAACAATAATTATTCTTTAGAATAAATAATGTTCAACAACAACAATTATTAGCACGTGGGGACACACCGTTCTCACCAGTGCCAGGGTTTTCATAGGAGGCGGGCAATACCCCCACTTTGTGGGGGGGCCGGTTCAAGCTCTACCAAATTTCCAAACGACTCTTCGCCACCACCCACACCCAGCTTCCCGCCCTATGACGTTCGGACACTTCACTTCGTGGCATGCGGACGACCGTGGCTACTATTCAGGGCCCCGCGGCCGACGACGACGGCGTGCGCGCGCGAAGAAAAAACGAATGTGTCCCGCATGGTATTATTTGACAGGGATGATGGCCCTGGCAGGTGCGCAACCGTTGTTGCAGAAGTTCGAAAAAGTTGCTCGCAAAAGCCCGTTTGACAGAAATGTTTAAAAAGTGTTGGGTTTCCTACGAATCCGCAAGAGCGCGCGGGATGAAATTTTGACAATTTTTTTTGAAAAAAAAAACATTGGTTTTTTATGTTTTTATGTTAAAATCGCTACGAAAACTAAGGTTTTGGAAGGATTTCGTCTTGCGCGCGCGAATGTCCACTTTACCTTATTTTTTGCAAGGGATTCTTGAAGTTTGGTTATGTTAGAACAAGAAATGTCCACTTTAGCTTATTTTTTGCAAGGGAAAACCGATCGTAACAACACAACCGGATCCGGACTCCCCCGTTTTGCCTGAGACTTCCTCACGAAAGTGATGAAAATGAGGCTGCGGCCTAGGCGCGGCGGGGGGGTCGTGCACCAGGGGCCCCAACAATAATTATTCTTTAGAAGTAATAATGCTCAACAACAACAACAACAACGCGCCGCCGCGATTCCGACGCGACGCGAGGGTGTCAGGGAAGGAGGCGAGCGACGTCCAAAAACTTGGATCTTCTTGCCTCAATTCCTCGTGGCCTTGTTTCGGGTCTCCCCAAACGGGAACTGAGAAGATAAGGTCGGGCAATCGCCGCGCCGCATCGCCAATGTATCGGCGATGCGGCTCGACATGGAACCCGGTGTGCTCCACGCCGCCGCTGTCAATGCGTCGCCGACGCATCGCAGACGTCGGCTCTTCGGGGCCTTGTCCTCGTCGCGGGCCCCTGGACATGTTGTCGACCCGATCCTCTCCCCATGCGACGCCCTGATTTTTTCAGGACGGCGTCCCCGGAAGTCTCGACCCTTTCCCCAGGACCGGCTTTCCGTCCCGTCCCGAGTCGTTTTTTGACAGCCCACGGGGCGCGACGAGGGCCCCCTCGGGCCGAAGAGAGCGAAAAGCCTCCCGTCCCGATCTTTGTGCACGACGCGAGCATGTCTGGGTCCTCGACCTTCGATCCTCTCCTGGAGATCCCCATCCTCGACCTTCGGCCCTCCCCTCCTCGCCCTTCGACACTGCAGGGGCCTATACTGCTGCCGCGCCGCCGGGAGGACCTCCTGGGCGCCGAGGGCCTCGACGGGTGCGGGCGCTGGGCCGAGGAGGGCGGCGTCGACCACCGCGCAGGCGCCCGGGGCCAGCCAGGGGGTCTTGGCTCGGCGGCCGCAGGACAGGGGGTTGCGGCGGGAGGTGTTCTGGGCCTCCCGGATGGGGTGGGAGCAGAGGGGGTCGGAGGATCGCGCCGCATCGCCGATGCATCGCCGATGCGGCTCGATGCGGAGCCCGATTTGCTTCACGTCGACGTCGCCGATGCGTCGCCGACGTCGCCGATGCATTGGCGATGCGGTGCGATCCTTCGACCCCATCAACTCGGACCCCATCTAGGAGGCCCCTAGGTGTGCGGGCGATTCTGCTCTCAGCCTTGTCGTCATATTTGTTGCGTTTGCGTATGTCTCATTCTCCCCTCCCTTTCTATTCCCTTCTCTCTCTCTCTCCCTCTCTCTCTCTCTCTCTCTCTTCTCCTTCCTTCTTTCTCTCTCACGGTCTCTGTCCCCCCTAGTCGGTCGTACAAGATAACGCATGACCATAATGTGTTTGTGTGTTAATCTTTGTTGTTGTTTCTCTCTCTGTCTCTCTCTCTCTCTCTTTCTCCCGCTCTCTCTCGCAGTTTCTCTCTCGTAGAGGATGAACAAGAGTAGCCAGCCTAGTTCCACGGGAAGTCCGCAGCACACTCAAAAGAACACGCCGGTACATCGACATCGGCCGGATGTCTTGGCCCGGCGCCGTCCCCCCCCCCTTGGGCGGCGCACCCTGCGCCCCCCCCCCTCCGCGGTCGGCGCGCTGCAGATTGCCAGCCTCGAGCGTATCCCTGTCCCTAAGATTGACACGTCAAGAGGCGATGACAATCTCAGGGATCCGCCCACAGAAAATCTAAGGGATCCCTGAGATTGGCATCGTGACGAGGAGGTGCCCAGCACAGGGATAGGGACATGTTCCAGGCTTGTATAAGCAGAGCAGGGGGGGGGGACCCAGCGCTGGCCCGAGAGATCCGCGTGACCCGAGAAAGCCAAGGAAGGTTCCCTTAGTTCTGTGCGCTGCGTTGTCGTTTCGCCCCTTTCTACAACCCTCGTCAAAATTAACCTCAAAAATGTCTGACGTGGTTGAACTGCTTGTCGGAAGATCTGGGGCCGAGTATCGATGAGTGCGGGGTATTTACATGCGCCGCCCCTCCAATGTCGGTCGACGTCAAACTTTCGAGTCAACTTCGGTCAGACTTGAGGTTAATTTTGACGAGGGTAGTAGCTTCTCGCTGGAGCGGATTTCGCCGCCTCGCCGCCGGCGAAGACAAGTGCTGCGTTTCCGTCTACTCTCTCGCCCCAGTCCCCCTCCGCCCCCCCCCCCCCGCGTCCCCAGACATCCGGCGTCTTGACAGAGCGTGGCGGAGGTGTTGTCTCGTTTTCGGCCTCCAGGGGCCCACGCAGGTCATCGGGGCCGTCCAGACGCGGCGCGGGATGGACTGAGCAGTCCCAGGGGAGGGGAGCAGTCGGGGGCCCGTGTCTCGAACAAATCGAGACGCTGGACGTCTGGGCTGGCCTCCTTATCCTGCTCTGCCCGTTGCCTCAGGTTATGATGTTCCAACCTACTTTAGCCTTGACCACCAGAAAGAATTGCGAGCACCACGAAAAATATCGAAACTCGAGGATTTTCACGTGTCGGGCCCTGGGAGACACTCGCTCGACACTCTTTCGACACTCTTTCGACATTCTTTCGAAACTTTTCGGGCTGCTCGAAATTGTTTTTGGGATGCGGTCCTTTTGTAGGATGAGAACAACATGAGCCTCAGGGCGTCGGACCCATGGTGCTCGCATGATCAAGGGCCCGGGGGTGCCGAGGACATCGGGGATCGAGGACTCGGGTAGGCCAGCGAGCTGGCAAGAATCAGCGCGGGGGTGCTTCGCCGTTTCGGCCCTGGGAGCGTCAAATCCGCCCTCGGGCCGATGGACCATGACACAACGGTCGTCGAGGCCTCCTAGATGGGGTCCGAGTTGATGACGTCGGAGGATCGCGGCGCATTGCCGATGCATCGCCGATGCGGCTCGATGTGGGGCCCGACTTTCTCCGCGCTGGCGTCGCCGAAGCTCCGCCGACGTCGCCGATGCTTCGGCAATGCTTCGCCGATGCTTCGCCGATGCATCGCTGATGCATCGGCGATGCGGCGCGACAGGGCTCGACCTAGACAGTGTTTTGGTGATTTTGTGAACCATTTTCGTTTTGATTTCGTTTTGCAGCAAAGGCGAAACTAAGGGAAAACGAGGGAAAACGAACACAACACGAAAACGAAGAACACTCTTTGGGTCGATCCCTGCGGTGCGATCCTCCGACCCAATAGTACCCCGACTTCATGTAGGAGGCCTCGAGGTTCAGGACTCACCAAAAAAACATAAGAGTCCCGCAGAGTAGTTCGAGAGCCCTGGGGCCCACACATGTTGACACTACCGGGGCGTCGGAGGTGCGGGCGAATGTTTCTTGGGCCCGCGCCTGCGCGTCGGCGGCCCCGAGGATCGCGCGGCTCGCCGTCTTTTGCCTCGGGGGGCCCTCGCGAGGGCCTGGGGCTGTCGAGTCCGCCCTTCGTCGGGCGGACGGCAGCAGGGGGGCCCAGTGGGTCCTAGAAGTGGCGGGGCTGTTTTGGACGCCTTTTTCAGGAGACCTGTTTCTGAGTACGAAAACTGCCGTAGACACGCCAACGGCGATGTAGGTAACGTCGATGTAGGTTTCGGTATTGTGGGAACGCGTGGCGCGTGCCTTCCTACGATGTTCTGTATCGTGTTCGTTCGGTCCATTCGCAGATGCCCCAATCAGTGTTTACACTGAAGGGGTCCTAGCGGCCAAAGAAGAGATTCGCGAAAGGAGCCGGCCGATTTCGCTGGGCAGCTCTCGGTGGGCGGCTTTCGCTGGGCGCCTACGCAAGAGATTGGCGAAAGTAGCAGGCCGATCTCGTTGGGCGGCTGTCGGTGGGCGCCCCCTCTCTCTCTCTTGTTCTCTGTCTTGGCATCTCTCTATGCCAGTGATGTCGGTGAGCGCTCCATCTCTCTCTATCTCTTTGTTTTGCTATCTCTCTTTTTTTCTCTCGCTTGGTATTCGTGTTTCCCCGATACGCAATACATTATCGAATCGTCACGTCTCATGTTAATTCTCAGTGTAATGCAATATCTCTCTCTCTCTTACATTCCCTTCTCTCTCGTTTTCTCTCTCTCTCTCTCTCTCTCTTTCTCTCTCTTTGAAGTTCTCTATATCTGTCCCATTCATTGATACGCGATAAATTCTTCATGCTTCGCGCATCCCCACCAGCCCGTAGCCCCTGGCTCAAGCCGCCCTGGGTCAAGCCGCGGCCGCCAGGAGGCCTCCTCCCATTCTTTTCCCTTTCTCCTACCTTTATTTTCTGTCCCAGTCCTGGCATGGCCGCAGGCGCCTGGAGCGGTGGCTGGCAGGCGCGAGGGGCGCCCGCCGCAGACCCGCTGCCGCGGAGCTGGAGCGGCCGCGCTGCCGCCAGCCATGACGCCTGGACCGCCGGCGCCGACGCTCCGCCCGCCGTGGATTCACTGCTGGCTGCAGATCCCTGGGCGGACGCAGCTGCGGAGCTTCCGCGCCGCAGGCTGTCACGAAAAAGTTGTTAAGAATATACCGTACATTTAGGACGGGGTGTGCCGGATATCCACGGAAAGCTTTTTTGAGGCGCAGTGCCAGCTGAACTTTGGGAGCGGCACCAGAGGTGACGCACGCGATTCAGCTGTGCACGCGGAGCCTGCAGCGCCGCCGCTTTTCTCTGATCTGTTGCCACCTGTCCCTGTTCCATCAATTCACGCAGCACCGTGCGAGTTGCCGTGTCGTGAGTTTGCTTTTCCATTTTGCCCCCCTCTCCGTTCTCTGTCTGTTCTTGGAATGCTGGGGGCATGATCATGTCCATGCACTCTTTGCGTCAGGATCGTGCTCAGAAGAAGATGTGTATGTTCGAGCGTTTCTGTCTAATCCAGGACACTGTTGCTACCAACGAAACCCACGGTCACCCATGTGATACCGACCATTTCGCTACGCAACTCCCTTTTCATCTCTTTGGCTACACGCTCTTCCTGGATAGTGTTGGCATTGGTGGGCTGATCGCCGCAGTGAGCAAGACGCTCGCGCTCAAATTTTCAAAGATTGAACATTGGCCTCTGATTGCTGGCCGGGTGCTCTTGACTGAGATGACGGGTCCACACGGCCAGTGTAACATTGTTAACGTCCACGTGCCTAACACGTCTGATAACATTTACCGATCTGTGCTTCGCGATCTCCGCCGTGTGGTCCCGATGTCGGCTGAACAGATGACTAGTATTGGGATTGGAACGGGTGAGGGGCGTCAAACAGCTTATGGTGGGCTCTTGAGTCCAGGGGACCGTAGGCACGCTCAGGCCTTCAACAACAACCTGCCTGATCCCATCGAGTTCTATCAAGATATGGACACACGTAGGGCTATTGTAGATAACGTGATTGATCACATTGCGCGATTGGATCGTATTCGCTGTTCGCTACCTACCGCGATTCTTGCTGATATGACTATTTCAGCATCGACGATTGGCCGTCTCAAAATCAATATGCCGTCGGACCACATCCCCGTCGTGACGAACATCTCGATGTACACCCCCGACCAGACCGAATGCAAGCATATCCCGCTGCGGCTAGCCAAGTCCCCCGAGTTTGCGGATGTGCTGGGCAGGCTTTTGCTTACGCCTCCTGCTGATGACGAGAGTGCTGCGCGATTGGTTTGGGCCAAAGTTTGTGTGCATTCTGCGGCGACGCGTGCACGTCGACGTATCAAGTTACGGGTCGCTAGCACGTGCGAGAAGTGTCATCAGTGGTCTATGGTAGCTCGCCGTGGCCTTCGGCTACAACCTGTTCAGTTGATCGATAATGCTCTGGTATGTTATCCCAAGCTTTCTGGATATATTGATGACACTACTCTTGATCGTGCTGACCTGTTTCCTCTCTGCCAGCATGTTCGCGAACTGTTTATGAAGATTCTTGGTGCGGGTTCGTTGGAGTCGGAGACTCTTCCTCCTGATTATGTCCAGCGGCAGAAGGGGGAGAGAAAGATAACCCGTCGTCGAAGTTTGTGGCAGCAATTCCGTCGTCGCACTTGGCTGCAAGGAGTGGTTGACGAAAATAGCAACCCGCACCCTTCCCCCGAGGCCACCGCTGGGGCCCTGAGGCTCCACTGGGGAGAGGTCGTCTGCGAGGTGCAAGAGGACCGCTCTAAGTGGCCTGAGTTATTGTCTTTTGTCCGACAGGTGCCCATATAACCGAATGTGGCTTGGGAAGTGGACTGTGAGACGTTCTTCGGAGACATTCTTAAACTTCGTAAGCATCGTATGCTTGGGCCTGATGGGAGTCCTGACCTTGGAGATGCCCGTCGTGTAATCGATGACTTGTCACCGGGACTGGGTATCTGGGCAGAGTGAGTTTTCCCCGGGACATGTTGGAGGTTCTTTTGGTTTTCTTGCCGAAGGGGGACTCGAGAGATGATGTTGGAACCCGTATTTTCAGGGCGCCCGAACATATGCGCTCACTTTCCATGGCGAACACAGGCGCCAAGCTGTTGAGCTCGTGCATGTGCAGTCCTTTTGAACGAGGCTGCCCAGCAGGTGGTCTCTCTCTTTCTTTCTTTCTCTATCTTTCTCTCTCTCTCGTAAGCTTGCGTCTCTGGTCGCAGCATGGCTGCGCATATTGTGCGTGCTGGGTCTTGGGCGCTCTCGGAGCATGTCTTAGACAAGGATGATAGCTCGCCGGTCCTGACGGACTACTCTGCCGCCCTCGCCTCGTTCTCGGATGTTTGGTTTCTGGCGGTCTTGGAAGCGATGGGGGTCCCGAGTTTAATTGTGCAGGTTTACCGTATGTTCTATTATGATGACACTGCGTTAATCTCTATAATGGGCAAGGTCTATGCTACGGTTGATGTTGCTAGGGGAATCCGCCAGGGAGACCCCGCATCAATGTTTTTTTCTGTTTGGGAACAGCTCCGTTTCAGATATACATCAGTAAGCACTGCTGGGAATACCTGCACCTGAAGCTTGCATATGCTGATGACTGCCTGTATGGTATTCGTGATAGTATTGCTCACCTCGGCCATCTGTTTAAATTGATCCAAAATATTGAGGCTGCTGTTGGCCTTGCTTTGAATATCCACAAGTGTCTGGTACTCGTTCACTCTGCCGCGCTTCAAGGTCGCCGGAAGCAATATATCGCGGAGCATATCCCTGAGCTGATTCAGATTCAGGTCGTTCTTTCGTTTAAGTACTTGGATATGGTGATCGGCTGCTCTGCTCACGAATGCCACTGGCGGAAGCCGGTTGCCAAGTTTGCTCCCCAAGTGAGAGAGGTGCGCCAGCTTGGGTTCAGTCTCGCTAAGAATATCCCGACGTTCAACATCCTCTGTCTTAGCATTCTGTCCTTCGTCATGCAGTTCGCCCCTTTCTCACGTGATGTATGCGCGGCGTATGAGAATGTCCTGCAGCTTCTCGCTGTCGATCCGCGACTCAGTTTTAACTATGAGATGTTGACGAACCTTGCCTCCCTGGGCTTTCCTGGTAAGTTTAAACATGTGGAAGCTGTGTCTTTGGCTGCCAAGTTCTGGCTAGTGTCGCGGTGTTCGGAAATTCTGGGGACCCTAGAGGACCTAGGAGATTCATTCGCACTACATCTGGCTGGGCCAGTGTGAGTTTCGCCCCTGCTCTTTTGGCCACACATCGACTTGTTCGAGGTATACGAGTGGCGTCTCCAAAGGGCATCCCTGATGAAGCGAAGCTCTTCCAGGCCGCAGTCTTCCGCGCGCTTGCCGCCTCGCCAGATTTTCCCCATGATGCCCAGGTCGACCTGATGATTAGGACGAGGAAATGGATGGGTGAGGTTCCCGAGGATGTCGCGGTGAAGCGTTCTAAAGCTGTCAAGTCTGTCATTGGGAAGACGGGGCCCTACCTTGGTCTATCGTTTCTGCCTGTACTACCCAGAGGATTGAACACGTCTGCCAAATTTCACTCCCAGTCTCACGGCTGTCTACTCAATTGTTGCGCTGACACCTACGACCCCTCTCTCTCCGCATTCGATGATATTGCTCATTACTCACGCTGCTCTCGATTATGCTGGATATGTGAACGTTGGCTTGGAGAACTCATGCCCCCTTTCTCTGAATCCCCGCCGTGGCTTTTCTCTCTGCTCCCGACCACTGAACGACCTCGCACGGTGCTGTTTTTCACTGCTGCAATGTTTGATGCGTTTATGTTAGCTCACAACTGTCGCCGCCACCAGCTTTTGTCGGGCAGTGTGTCTCAGCAGATACACGCTCGGATGCGAGCCGCGACACGCAGACATCGATCTGTTGCCGAGGGTTGGAGGCCCGAGCGACGTGTGAGACTTCTTTTCGAGGCCCCTAGTGGCATGTGCGTTTGAGTGCTCTCGTGTCTAGAGGATGGGGCCCTGGACTCGAAGCTGCTGGCCCTGGAGGGCCCTCAGCACTGCTCTGCCCTGGTGGGCGGACCACCTTGTCGAACAAGCACTAACAAGGTCAGCGTGAACTGGCACAAAACAGGAGGAGGTGGAGGAGGAGGAGGAGGAGCACGAGGAGGAGGAGGACCAGGAGGAGCAGGGGGAGGAGACAGGAGGAGGAGGAGGAGGAGGACGAGGAGGAGGAGGATGATAGAGATGAAGGAGGGGGTGGAGGAGGAGGACGTGGGAGGATGGAGGAGGAGGAGGACCAGGAGGAGGCGGAGGAGGAGGAGCAGGAGGAGGAGGAGGGATGATGCGACGCCCTCGCAGACCAGCTCGTGCCCGGCGGCGTCCTCGTGTTGCCCGCGCAGGAGGGCCCGGTGGCGCCCCCACGGCTGCCGCCGGCCGCGTCGGCGTTCGCCGCGCTCCTGTCGCGCAGCGAGCTGCTGGTGCTCGTCTTCGACGACAGTGGCGGCGACGACGACGACGTTAGCGACGAGAGCGACGACGACGACGACGTCGTCGTCGTGGCCGCCTTCGCCATCGTCGTGGTTTTGCTCGCCGTCGTCGTCAACGACGTCGTCGTCGTCATCGTCGTCGGGGTCGCCTTTGTCATTTTCGCCAACGTCGTCGTTGTCGTCGTCGTCGTTGTCGCCGCGCCAACGGCGTCGTCGTCGTCGCCGCCATTGTCGTCGTCGTCGTTGTCGTCGTCGTCGTCGTTGTCGTGGTCGTCGTCATTGTCGTCGCTCAGCGGAGCCGCTGCAAGAGAGCGCCGCCACGGGCGCCCGTGGCCAGGTTCGATCGGACGCCCGCGGCCAGGTTCGGAGTTCCCCGCGGACCTCTGAAAGCGCATGTTCACCCAAGTGTGTCTTTCACTGTTCTGAGCATCCGAAGGCCTCCGGGGACCTCAGGAGACCGCCGAGGAAGCCTATGGAAACTCTTGGGGGGAGGCGATTGCCCCATTAGTCTTTTCACACAACCCTTCCAGTCTCGTCAACTCAAGCGGCAGGCTGATTAATCCTCCCAGCGTCTCCGTGGCGCACCGCGTCACATCTCACACGTTTCTGTTTCGGCTTCACGCGCTGACAGCGCATTAGTTTGATCAGTTCTGAACTCTTTGGAACGAGGCGTGATTAGCTCGAGATCGTTGTGGAGTGGAAGTGAGGTGGAGTGGTGTTGAGTGGCTTGAGCAGTGTACCCAGCTAGAGGGCATGTGAGGGGTCCTGTCCCAGGTGGTCTTGCGGCGTTTTTGAGGCATGTTCGGCTGTCCCTGCGTGGAATCGGGCCGACTGTGAGGTCTTTGGGCCCTCTTGGAGCCGTCTGGCGAACCTCCGACGTGCCCTTTTGGGTCTGGATGCCATCTTTGTGTTTCGAGGTTGGCGATGGGGGAGCACGCATAGCATGATGTTGCCAGGTGGTTCTCGCGTCTCAGGTGCCAGAGCGAGGGGGCTTCCTCGGGGGGATATTGCAACCCTGTTGGCGAAACGGTAGATGCCATCAGGCCGTTTTGCGGGCCATCTTTGGACCGCCCGTGCCGTTGTCCCAGACACGTGATGCCCTGATTGGCCCGATTCGCGGTCTCTCCGACCCGTTCCCACGGGCCCCATGCTCACCCTGAGCTGCTTGTGACGCTCCCTGGGCCCGACGAGGGCCCCTGGCGGCCGCAAACGGCAAACGCATCCCGTCCTTAGCTGTCTCGATACGCCTGTTTTGATACGCAACACGTCCCGTGTTCAAGACGTCCGTGTCGATACGTTGCGTGTTGGCTCCACGTATTGGCCCACGTTTCGGCGAACGTATCGCTTCAGACCCACGTTTCAGTCTACGTGTTGAGCTCCGCATCCATACGCTACAGTGCCGTTTTTAATACATGCTCCGCGTGAGGATCGTGTATTAACAATGCAGGGATTTAGTATTAAAAACAACGATGAGATCATGCATACAGTTATGCATAAATCAATCGTGTATTAAAAGTCCTATCCTTTTAAGACTCCCATGTGTTAAACACTGCCCTGTACGTGTTGCGTGCTGCGCATCGGGGCAGCTGAGATCCCGTTGTGTTTCCCCAGTGTCCCGGCGAGCACTTCCTGGGGCCCACGCGCGGCGCCGTGCTGGGCTGCCCTCGGGCCACAGAGAGAATAGCACAGGGAGTTGTAGTTCTGGAAGAGTTTTCATTGGTCGGTCTGTTTGTCGTCCCCCCTGGCGCTCGCGGGCATTGCGTTGCGAAAGTTCAGGCGTTGGCCGACCTCTGCCCTCCTGCGGGAGCCATCTGTGCTGGCCGTCGTGTTTTGTTTCGCCTGGCGAGAGGACTTCCACCCAAGAGTGGGCAGCATTCCTCGCCTGGGCGCTGACGTTGGCTGAACGTGGGTCCCCGTATACCCGGGCGCGCCCAGATTTGCAAAGTCAAAGCCCCATGCCGGTCGCCGAGGTTGGTTGACGACCTCGGGTTACCAATGGGCAATTGATCAGCGACTGGGCCTCCACGAACCCAAGGGGCGCGATCTTCGCTTGCACCGCCGACAGCGGTACATACATGGAGCGTTTCGTGGAGTTGTCATCGCTTCCTCGGCGGAAGGCGGCAAAATGTCGGCGGACGGCGGCGGAAGTAAAACGGCGGCGGCCACGCCGGCGGAAGCCGTCGGATGCTCGGCGGAAGCCAGCGGAAGCAAACGTCGATCTCCCAAGAGATGACAGTATGTTTCGATTCCGGGTTTCCGGGGCCCGCCACATGGTGGCTCCCTGACTGCCGCCTCCGCTCCTTCCATAGAGGGCTCAAGCGCATACCAGGCATCAGAGCCCATCCTGCCGGCATCATTAGTCGAGAGAGCAATGCAGCGTGCTGTCGCGGTATTGTGCTTCGTGGCAGCACTCCAGGCCGCGGGCTGGGCGGGGGAGGGGACACTTGGAGGCGTGGACACACGGATGACAGGGCGGACGCGGAGGGTTCGGTCGGAAAGGGGATCGTATCGAAGACGCCTACGGCGAGTCACCGCCGCCACCTGCTTGTTAGGATGCGCCTATCTGGCCAAACGTTGGGGAAACAAATCGCCACGCTATTGGACCATGCGATACCCCAGCCGTTGTGGAAGCCCTTCGGGAAACACGTCGGGGAGGAAGAGGAGGATGAGGATAGGGAGAAGAAAGGAGGATGAAGAGAAGGACTTGGAGACCTCTAAGGAACTTCTTAGGTCATTTATTACGGCTCCTGGGAGCGTCCTGGGGACCTCTTGGAGGCCTCGGGGCCTCAATGGGCCTCTTAGGGGCCTCCGGGGGGCTTCTTGGGGGCCTCTTTGGCCGTCTTACCGCGTTCCTGGCCCGTCTGACGCCTTCGGAAGTTAGTTTGGGAGCCTTCCTGGGCCTTCTTGGCGCCCTCTTGGGGCGCTTCAGTGTCGTCTTGAATGCCATGTCGGCCGTCTTGGAGGCCTCTTGGGCCGTCTAGGGGCCCTTTGGGGGACATCTTGGAAGCATCTTGGGCAGTCCTGGGGCCATCTTGGAGGCATCTTGGGCGATATTGGGGGTCGTTTTGCGCAACTGCCAAAATCCTTCCAAAACCTTATGACAAGCTATGATCTTGGCCTCTTCGGGCCTTCCTGGAGGACCACTTGGAGGCCTCTTGGACCGTCTGTGAGGCCTCCTGGAGGCCTCTCTGGCCGTCTTGGGGCATCTTGCGCAATCTTGGGTGCATGTTTGGCCATCTTTGGTGCAGGGCTCTTTCTTGAGGCGACCTCGGCCATCTTGAGGGTTATCTTAGCCGTCTTGGAGGCCATCTTTGGAGGAGAAGACCGACGGAGTGCACTTTTTCCCGGGCCTCCTGGGTGGCCGGCAGCATCGGCCAGAGCCCCGGGGGTAGTTTCAAAAAGGATCACAAACATGCAAGAAGTTTCGCACGCCAGGCACTCCTGTGACAAAGCGTAGCACCCCGCATTTGCGGATAAGAGTGAGGGGGCGGCCGGGACGTCGGCAGTCTGCGAGGCTGTCAAGAAGCCCACCGCAGACGCTTGATTTTTTATATATTCCACAATGGGCCCGCCGCAAGCGCCGACTTTCTCGTTAAAGTACTGTGGGTGGGTCGCGGGTGGGTCGCAGGTGGGTCGCAGGTGGTCCGCGGGTGGGTCGCGGGTGGGTCGCGGATGGGCCGCGGGGGGGGGTGGGTCGCGTGTGGGTCGCGGGTGGGTCACGGGCGGGGTCGCGGGGGGGG